GTCATATAGGGTTAAAGTTTTGTTTGTTTTTGTGTGGAGTGTTCTTTAATGTGACCAAATAAAATCATTCATTCATTCAAAAAAAAAAACAAAAACAAAAAAAAAACAGACTGAAACCTGATTGATGTTTCGGTGTCCCACAGTTGCAATGTTTGGGTCGACTCAGTTTCTTTGATGTTTTTAATCTCTTCTGTTGTTTTATTTGATGAAATAAATATAGCAGCAGCCAGAACAAMGCATATGTGGAACAGAGGGAAATAATTAATGTTGAGTCATGAAAACAGGTTTCYAATGTCTAAATAAATCAGCTGCATGCTGCAGGTTTTAGATTATCAGACTGAATTTGGGCTAATGTTTCAAATTTGCAAAAAGCAAAGAAAATTTTGAAAACCAAACCCAGTATTTTCATTTACAAATGTGTGGTAGTCTTAAATGTTACAGTAAGTGGCAAAGAAAAGCTGGTTATGTCAAAAACAAGGGTCTCTGAATCAAAAGTAGTATTTTTTTATGAAGAAGTCTGTTTGGTTTGGGATGTATTACTTCACCTCAAYAAAGTCTAACAGTGATTTAACTTCAGATACAAGTAAAAGGGTTGATAAAAAAAATTCAGTAAATAAAGCCGTACAAACCTCCATGTTAATCTGATTTATTCCAAATTTAATGACTAGACTGGTTGTTTTATTTTATTGTTATTTTCTTTTTTTGGGCGGGGTATCAAAAACTATCACAGAACTATTTATTTGAACAGTTTTATCTGCAAATTTAAATCAGTTGTAAGTTTTAATAGATTGCTGCTAAACTTAATCTATTTCCTTGCATATTTACTAATGTTGTCTGAGGTAGTAAGTGAATCCTTAAACTTCTGAAAAATATGAATGAACAGTTTAAATTTCTGCAGGTATGCAATGAATTATTTGACAATTCTGTTCAGGGAGCACAGATAGGAGACCWGGAGGAATGTGGAGGTTGTTCATGCTGCATATTTGTTGTGTGCAGGAGGAATCAGGTGGAGGCCGGAACCACTGACGGTGTGGGAACCAGGTGGGAAGGAGTGACCAAGTGTATGCCATTTGTAAAGTTACACAGTCAAAAATTACCACCAACATTTTTGTTTTATTTAGCCTTTTGTAAGAAAAAAGAACAGATTTATTTTTCA